TCTGCTTCTCACCAACTGCATGATTATGTTTTATTGAAAACAACAGAAACTGACCTCAAACAAACTTAAGTAGAAAGAGAAACTTGCTGGATCATGAAATCCAAAGAAGGATTGAACAGTTAAGCATCAAGAAAGGCAGAGCTGTGGAGACGGCCCTTAGGAACAACCAGAACGATGGACTCAAACCTTGTTAGGCGTCTTTGAAGTCTCTGGATTCTGAAGCTGTCTGTATGCAGTTTCACTTTTTTTCTCACTGCTAACCAGCTTTCTCTAAAGGGAGAAATGTGTCTATTATGTTTTTGAGTTTAGAGGTGAAAGCTTTAGCCACTGGAGAGAGATCGCCCCAATCTTTTACTGGCCCAAAGCACAAAAATCTCAGGGAACCTACTCCTTTGGCCCAACAGATATCTAACCTAATCAATTCTACAGAATGCTTGCAAGATTATCCCAGGTGTCCATTTTCTTAGGTGCTTTACGAAAGACACAAACCTTGTATATGGGGCATGCTATGGTTAGGTAGAAGGAAAGAAAGCCAGTGTCCCAAGTAAGGGCAGGGGGCTTTGAGTTAGTTATATAGGTAGTCTATGAGAGAAAGACAACCCCGATCGGAGTGGAGGCTGCATTCTTGTCCCTACTAGAAATAGCACTGGGGATTGTTGGGGTAGAAACTGATTATGATGGAATTAAAGGTAAAACAGAATTTGTTCTAGTATTTGAAGCAGCCATGATAGGTTTCTTACATAGATTCAACTGTGATTCTGAAACCCCACTTCATAACATAAACAAATCCTCAACCACTTCCTACAATGTACCTTCCTTGTCACCTGGCTTAGGGTTGTGGCAGTGGGAACAAAGCAGAATGGGTGAGAGAATTCTGAGAAGTAAAACTCAAGACAATACCCAGTCATCTAAGCTGGGAGCCTAGAAGGATAATAGCACTTGAAAGGACTCTTAGTGAGGATTTTAACTAAGCATTTGAAAAGTTGATGTGTCATTAATAACATTGTATCTCCTGGCATCTAGCATAATTGGTGCTTAGTTTACCAGATTAATAAACTGAATGATTCTCATAAAATTAGGAAATTAATAAAATGGATTCTAAACCCCATCTAGCTCTACAATTCTATGAGTCCATTTCTAAATCCTGATCTTAAAAGTCTTCAAATAATCACATACAAAAAAGATAGGTTTTTAAAAAGGTCAAGATGGTAAATTTTTACACTTAAAAAATGCCAAAAAGATAGGTTGTTTGTTCTATGTACTTTCAAAAAATATATTTGAAAATATTCCAAACATCTTATGAATATGTTCACCAAAAGCTCAAGTTTATAAAAACACTTTATGTTCTTCAGAAAATTAAATTAATCATTTTGATTAATGGAGAATTTATTATATCACAAAATATGAAAGTATTAGGGGCAAATTAATACCTACCAAAATGTCTGGAATGATGAATGAGCAGATGTGATTGGAGATTTCAAGTCCTGAGCTTAAAAAAAAAAAACTTCTATGTTGGGTATACACCTGTATTTCCAATCATTTCTGGGAAAAAAAAAGTCATGAATCAGATTTTGAAAATAAGAAAAGTGGAATTGGAAACACAGAAGTAACAAAAAGGAAAAATCTTAGGAAGAGAAAAATGGTATATAAAAAGTACTACAGAGATGGGGTAAAATAAAACTGAGTATAAATAATCTGTATGTTAAGGGAAGGATTCCTTGGTCATCTCAATCTACAATACATGGCATAAAAATAAAGTGGGTGAGAGACCATTTATTTTGTTGCCTGGAATACTCTCAGACCATTTTTCTGTATTTTTTTTTTTTTTAGAATATTTGGGAGGTGATTGAGAGGTTGGTGCATAGAAAACATAGAGGACGCGAAATTCATTATCTATCAATTATAAAGATTTATGCATATCACATTTTATTTACATTTGTGCTATGATAGGTATCTTTTTGAGAATTCAGAGGACATCCTACTTTTGAGAAATATAACTAATAAAAAATGCAGGATAAAATCATTAGATATAATGTATAGTGTCAGGAAGATACTAGACTTATCAGGGGGATCACTTCATAAATTATATAAATGCCTAACCACTATGCTGTACACCTGAAACTAATATAAAATAATATTTTTATATATAATTTTTAAAAATTGTCACAGAATATAAAGTACAGTACAGGGAATATAGTCAATGATATTGTAATAGCTATTTATGGTGTCAGCTGGGTAGTATACTTGTTGGGGTTATCACTTTGTGAGGTATGTAAATGTCTAATAACTATGTTGTTTTGTAACCTGAAAGTAATAATAAAAAACACATTTAACAGGAAAAAAAATCCTTGGGTATATAAGTAAGAATTTAATAAACACAGGTTTAATCTTTCATAATCACCATTTATTGATGTCCATAATGTGCTATGTACTGGCATCTACATGTAAAACTTTCTAGTGATAGTAATAATTTATGCTAAGCAGTTTGCAAGTACAAATTTTGTAGCTTAACAAACAAGAAATTAAACTGGGTTCCAGAGAGACAAAAGAAAATAAATTGATATTAATGAACAGTCGGGTCGGCAGAGTGGCGCATTGGTTAAGAGCTGGCTTGGGACACCAGAGAGCCCCGGTTTGGATCCCATATATGCGGGCCAGTGACATTGCCCTCTACAGCTAAGATGCTGAACAACAGCTCAACCTGGAGCTGGGCTGCTGTGAGTCGCCGGCTACTGGGTAGGCTGCAGCCCCTGCTGCAGTGGGTTGCCATGGGCTACTGTGTGTGGCCAGCAGCCAGCGTGAGCAGCCTCACTGAGCGACTGTCCAGAAGCCGGTGACTGATCTGCCTTGCCCGGGAAGAGCACAATGATGGTGCCAAGTTGGGACAGTGAAGCAACATCCTCCACAACTAGACTGAAGAACAAAAGGACAGCAACTTGTCTGTTCCCCTTTCCCCAATTCCCCAGCACTGTTCCCATCCCCCAATTCCCCAATTAAAAAAAAAATCTAAAAAAAAAATGAATAGTCAGTTTAAAATGAATATTATCATTTTCTTATTAAGTAAGTTTCCCATCCCCCAGTTTTATCCAAATACAACTGACATAGAATACTGTATTAGTTTAAGGTGTACAGCATAATGATTGCATGTAGGTGTATATTGCAAATCTACTTGGTTGCAGACCTATGAATTCAAAAGAAACACTTTATTTCCCTAGTTCCAAAATCCTGCTCAAATCTGTCTTTCCTTCCAGTTCTCAGAACCACAGCCCTAGTTCAGGCCCTCATTCTCTCACCTGATTACTGCAATCATCTTCTAATTATTTACCTGGCCTTTGGTCTCTGATGGAAGGCAATTCATTTTTCACTTCCTTCCCAGTTATCGTTCTAAAGCACAGTTCTGATGTTGTCACTCCCTCTCTTCAAAGCCTTGGCACAACTCCCCACTGCCTACAAAACAAAATCCCCAGCTTTGCATTCAAGGCCTTAACAATTTGGTCATATCTTCCCGTTCTTACCTCATTCCAATCACTTAAATTTCCTACTCTGTACTCAATGAGCTATTGTTTACCAAATACATCTTCACACATTTCCATCCCGTCTTTATTCATTTTCTCTCTTCCTAAGATGCTTCCTATTGACATCTTGCTTTTAATTACTGTCCAGCTCAACAGAATCACCTAACACCTTTTCTGCCGTCCTTAGTCATCTTGTTTCTTTCCAGAGCACGTTATGTCTCTGTTTTAGCACTTTCCATCTGTTCTGAACTCTATAGAGATGGACCTATTCTCTGTCTGCCATTTATACTGTGAGCAACTTGAGGGCAGGGATGGTCACAGCCTAGCAAGCAGAGTGGGAGGAGGAGAATAACTCTCCCTGGAAAAGCAGGAAATATTCCTAATAACATAAGGGCAGGGGAATTCTCCAGCATCTTTCTTGGAAGAGGTTCAAAGTCTAAGGAGAAACATTCACCGCACACAAAATAACTTCCTGGAATTAGACTTCTGAGACCTTCTAATAAAAACTTCTTTCTAGAACTCAAGACTGTAACTTGTGAGACATGGAACGTGGTCTCTAAATCAACCTTATCAAACTTCAAAAATCTACACACTGCATTCAGCCACCAATTAATTGCTTCGGTGCTAGCCTCCTAGGTATTACAATTTATTAAAAGGAAATTCTACACGTAAGTCAAGAATAACTGGGATCTCTTAACTTATACCACAATATTTGATCAATGACACAGTATTGTCCAGGAATCTACACCTGGTCTTGCCACCACTGGTCAACTGGCACGTGGCTTTCAGAACTGCAGCCATCAGAGCCAGCTCTGTCATGACTTGTGATTACTTGAGTCGAACGATTCCGGGCGCGTGGTGGTTGCTTCTCCTTCATCCACCATGCACCATTTGATTCGGTGCCAGGAGGATATCCGGGTGTTTGGCCACTGGCACCGGCGAAGCTAGCGAGCCTCAGGATCGTGGCCTCTCTGAGCCAAGGTTCTATCTACAGAGGAAAGCCGGCAACGCCAGCCTTCAGCGGGAAGGAGGGCTGAAGCCGCAGAGGGGAGACGCGCAACCTCCCGCTCGCCGAGCGCCGCGACGCCTGGTGGGTATTAAGGCGAACCTGAGGGCTGCCGTGGAGCCGAGTTGCTGCACCCAGAAGCCGCCGGATGCGCGCGGGGCCGCCCCGCGCGGCGGGGACCCTCCCAGGGCGGCGGTGGGGGCGGGGC